ATATATATATATATATATATATATATATATATATATATATATATATATATATATATATATATATATATATATATATACATATATATATATTGGCACATTCACTGATTTGGCCTTGAATAAGATTCACGACTTATAGACGTGTCTATTTCAACGGTAAGAAGTTCTTGCTATATTACACATGTTTAATCGATCACTGAAGCGACTGACAAGTCGCCTCACTGTCAATAGGGCTTTGATCTAGTGTGCAGCAGCTCTGCTGTTAGCACTACGAATAGTCTTTCATTCGGCGCTTCGCTTAGCCGTTGTTGTTAATTTCCGGTAGATCGTTGTAGCACCCGATACTGTAGTCACGCAATTTGTTTAAACAGATACCCAGTTTGTCATTGTACTTGTACATAAATGTTGCCACATTCGCCGGGAATGGACAATCATCGTTCACGATTTTCACGCACGGCGGATAATCGCGCGAATCGACGTTATTGTTACTCACGACGAGTATAGTATCGTCCTCCTCTTCCGGATAAATCTCCGGCTGCGTGGAAGAGACGTACATTTGCCCGAGAGCGTTTCGCACCAGCATTTCTCTTTCCGTGCGATTGGGCGACTCGTGATTGATGTCGCTTTGCAGTTTTCCTCTGGTGATTCTCAGTATTTCTTGCACGTCGTCGTCAACGACCGGCTCGGCCGTCGCTAGCTCCTTATCTCGGTCGAATCGAGTCGAGGAGGCGCTCGAGCATTTTGCCATATCTTCGTCGCAGTTATCATCGCTTTCGTTATCGATAATTATCTCGATCGGTTCCGCCGGAGGGTTCGTCGACTTATCAATATCATTCGCAGTCTCCTTGGACCGGACTGGATGACGATTTTTGTCGCACCAAGAATTCGGGGTTGTGGTGGACGTCGTGGCGGTCGCCGTTGTTCCAGCGGCCCTAACTCGTTGATAGACGATAAGCTCCTCAATATCGTCTCGCGGAGAAACATTCCGGCCAAACGAAGAGTCCCAATCTTCCAGGTTCGATGTGTCTTCCGGTGCAGGACTCGCGTTCTCCCTCTCGTACCTCTGTTTTGGCGAGTCCTTCGTCTCGTCGAGAAAATCAATGGTGTCCACGAGGCGGCCGGCAAATGAACTCGTCGTGTACACCCGCGAAGATGCGATCTTACGAGAGTACCTGGTGAGGATGGGACTTGCGCACGGACTGTTCGAGTCAACGGTCGCGTCACTGGTCGCATCAATGGTCGCATCACTGTTCGCATTGATAGTCGCATCAATGGTCGCATCACTGTTCGCATCGATAGTCGCATCAATAGTCGCATCAATGGTCGTGTCTTCATTTGGCGTATTCGAGATCTCAATTGGCCTCGTCGCCGGCGCACATGTAGAACACGCTATCGCGTCCCCTTGAACAGATGCCAATTTGCCTTGAATGTATCGATTCGTGGCTTTATGGGGCTGTACACATTGTACACGGCTATTACCCACAACACGGTCCGCGAGAGACAAATCGATATTCATGCCATAGTCATCTTGACGTTTCTCATTCTCGTACGACTCGGTCTGCGTGCCAACGTCGGCGAAATACTCGTTGCTATGTAGTTTCAGGTACTTCCGACTCATTCGTGTCTCTGTCATTGTCACACCGGCGATCTTGATGATCAAACGCAGCTTGCGAGACCGCCTCCTCTCATGGATTTGCTTCTTGTTTATTTGGCGCTTGTAAGACTTGAGGTCCGCGGCGTCGTGCTCGTCCACCAGATGCACGTCACACACGTCGCATTTCTGCATTTCAGCCGCGGTTTTTTCGGTACGGTGGTTAGAATTGTGATCAAAAGCGTTATTCAACACATTCTCGAGCTGCTGATGTCGCCATTGCATATGCATAGCAACGTCAGTTATGCACTTAAAGTCTCTGCCACATATCTGGCACGTACTTCCAATAATGACGACGTTGCACTCACGCAGGTTTACACCGGCGGGGAGGATGTTACTTCTGCCTGACTGCTCGTCGATAGACACCAGCATCTCTGGTACCGGAAACCCACCTCTTATCGATCGTATGGTGTTACCTCCTGCAACCGCTAACCCTTTCCCCCTCTCTCCCCTTATCCAGCTCGGCCCTACTGATCCTAGCGTGAGCGCGTACTCCTGCGAACTTCCCGTGCTCGTCAGTGAGGCAACTGTCGAGGCTCGCCCGCCGGAATAAACTTTGTTGTACTTCGTCCTATACCTTGGCTGTGGCGCCACCTTGTGTGCGAATCACCGTGACGCGACCTGGCGCCGACACAAAAGACTTTGGCATCATGTAGATCGAGTTGTGTGTATCTTTCGCAACAGCCGAACGAGTTAGATCAGTCGTCGCACACATGTGCTCGTTGAATCCCACGTTTCCGGTTGTTGGGAATGATACGTAGTATTAGAGTAGTATTTATCTATATCGCGCGTCGTAGTTACGTTTAAAGTCAAATAGTCTGGTCTATGAGTCAATCATATGTTATCGCCATATTATATTATTCGCGTAGATTCGTGCAAAACAATAAGTTTCATCTCGACCAATTCAATCCAACTTTTCATTTTTTCACGAATTTATGCCAAGGAAATAGACACGTGATCGATTCACAGACTAGTGTTATGACTTCAAAACATAACTGTGACGACATTGTAGACGATCCTTTAGAGAGAAATATTTCTTTTCTCTTCCTTCCTCTCTCGAATACAAAGATAAGTATGAAAGAGAATATAAATGAACCTTTCTATGGCTATGTTTCAATATTCATTGCCAGTATTGAAAATCTTTAGTTTACGTTACGCTATTGTAGATATCAGAACATTGCTATCAGAAGGTTGCTTTCCAGCAAGAGACTCAAGACATAAACATCATTCTATCTTTGTTACTCACTAAATGTGAACAAAGATAGAATGATGTTTGTGTCGATTTAAGGCGTTTTTTCGTTTCGTGACCATGGTAGCGTTTGGTTGGTTAGTTTGGTCCACTTAACGCCGCGAGCGTCATTCTATCTTTGTTACTCACTAAATGTGGAACAAAGATAGAATGATGTTTGTGTCGACTTGAGGCTTTTTTTCGTTTCGTGAATGGCCAAACGGTAACGTTTGATTGGTTAGTTTGGTCCACTTAACGCCGCGAGCGCCATTCTATCTTTGTTACTTGAGGTGTTGCGAGCATTAAGTAGACCAAACTAACCAATCAAATGCTACCATGGTCACGAAACGAAAAAACGCCTTTATGTCTCTTGCTGGAAAGCAACCACCCAGGTAGAACACAAAGGGCCGATTGTTCCAACTTTTTGGTAAGCTATCTGACAATTAAATCATACGTCTGTCTTCGTTTTTTTCTTCAAATTGTACAGAGATACATGATTTACCTCTAAGGTAACTTACCAAGAGGTTGGAACAGTCGGTCCAGCCATATAAAAATCAAAATAACGTCAAATGATATAAAAGTGATGTCATTTTGACGTCAAACAATACCATTTTCATGATAATTTCATGACAATGATGTCAAAATATCATCTTGACATCAAAATGATTGTGTTTTACCTGGACATAATCTACTAACTTATGTTTACTAGCACAAATGTCCAAGACATATCCTAGAGACATCCTAGAGATACCACACATCTCTCTCTACGCTTCTCGATATTAAGATTATTCAGAAAGTTATTATTTAGTATGCGTACCAAACGTTCGGTGTAAACAAGTTCGGTATAAATATTCACATCTAACTCTAAATTCAAATCTTAGTATCTCACCTGAAGCAAGTTCCACGTGACGACTATTAATATGACTTTAGGAGCTCGCTATTAGGACTTTTATTTAGTGCTATCGTGTCATTTTATCCTTGTATATCTAAGGAACGAAAAAACATCTGACGAATAGCTCGAACGTCTTTTGTATGAAAGCGCTCTGTCAATAAACGGTCATATAAAGGTCCTGATGTTGAAGCTGAAAATTTTACCAGCAGAGTACTGATATTTTTCTGCAAAGTTTACGGGTCGATTATTCCAACCTTTTGATAAGCTTTCTACCCTTATAGAAATATCATACTAAGAATCATTGATAATTACTTATTTTCAGTATTAAAAATACTGGATAATAAGTAATTATCAATGATTCTTAGTATGATATTTCTATAAGGGTAACAGTTAAATTATATCTGTCTTCGTTTTTTCTTCAAATTAGACAGAGGCAAACACATGATTTAACTGTTTGGTAGCTTACCAAGAAGTTGGAACAATTGGCTCTATGTTTGTGACAATCATTTCTGTGTTATCAATATTTTTTCATCGACTTCAGCATCCCAAGGGATAATAAATGATTAGATAAAGAAATCAGCGAATAAAACACTCTGATTGGCTTTTACGTTTACGACCACGCTTACACAATTATAGAGTGGCCTTTAGAAACGCCCTACACGGTTTCATGAATTTCGACTGAGAGAAATGTTGAAGAGGTAAAAGAGCTTCGAGAACGATGAAGAGTGAAGTATTCATTAATCTTTTTGGCGACATTGAAATCAGTCAACATCAGATTGGAACCGATCAGATCAATACAACGATCGAAATTATATCGGTTGCAGTGATGAAGCATGTTTTGAAGAAACAAGAAACCGAATTGTTTCGTCAACAGACTGTAATGAAATATTCATGATGTATAATGAGAAAAGATAATTGTATGTCAACGATAAATCCAAACAACACAATATGTCCTGTAGTAATGTTGAATGTACTCACGTCCTGGGGCACTTCCCGGCAGTGCTGGCAGTTCGGGAGAATTTTCTCCCGCTCGAAAATCTACGTATGCGTAGAGTTACGTAGCAATCTAATAGAAGGTTCATACTATGAACTATTACTATTTACCAGTGAGCTTTATACATACTGAAGTGAGCCATCATGGCGTTTGGTGGAGAGGCTATCTTTCTCTAAGGTTCGCGACTGGTTAAGTACAAAGTGAGACAGATAGAGTGTGCCATCGAGAGGCGTTTGGTGGAAAGACTATCTTTGTTTGAGGTTCGCTGATTGGTTAAGTATAAAGTGAGACAGTCTTACCACTAACCTATGTAGACCGTAGGCTGACGGCTCACTCCAGTATGTATAGAGTTCGTTGCTATTTACGTCTAAAACTGTCATTGGAAATTGTTTACATCAGGCTGCTACTCACTCTGCGCATGCGTAGGTTTTCGATCGGGAGAAAATTCTCCTGAACTGCCAGCATTGCTTCCCAGGTACTTCAAGACACGTTCAGGATGATATTCTGGGATATATTGTGCCACGAAACGGTTTAATCGTAATATTGTGGCAGATTTGCAATAGTCGTGTCCTCAGAAATGCTTTTCATTGGCACGGATCGCCAGACTGATTCGCCAATGGATCAGAGATACAACGCAAGAGGTTACACATTTTTCGTAAAATATTGTAATCCTACTGACGAAAATTATAAATATATGCAAAAGAGGAAAAAACGATATACGTATAATTTTGGCCACGAATGTAATATCGTAAACGAGTTTAACAACTAAAATAAAATAATAACCAAAATAAAATAATTTAATAAAATAGTGCATACTGTAAGACAGAAAACAATGTAACTATGCGTTAAAATAGATTTTATAATATGGTGCTGTAGAATACTGAGCCATATCTTTGACAATATTATCTCTTGTGTCTTAGCTACAAAGGTCATATATTGAAACTACTCAATGTCTAAACATTCCGATATTATCAACAATATCGACATTATCACCAACCGTCGAGTTTGAATGTAATAATATAATGATAATATTTAATCACCAAAGCAAACGATATATTGATATATATTTCGGTAATTAACAATATATGTATATCATATCTATATTCATATTATTATCTATCGTGCATATAAATATTCTTGACGAGAATAAATGAGATTATATAATTTTTTACAATCGCTCGATAGATGATAATATGCATATCTACACATATGTATTATTTTATCTGTCGTATCAATACTTTCTATAAATAAGGTAGATTAAATTAAGTATTTTCAATATGTGACCTTTGTAGCTTTGTAAGACACAAGAGATAATATCGTCAAGGATATGGCTCAGTATTCTACAGCACTATATTATAAAATCTATTTTAACGCACAATTACATTGTTTTCTGTCTTACAGTATGTACTATTTTATTAAACTATTTTATTTTGGTTATTTTATATAATTTTTCACAATTATGAGAAACAACGTTTTTCGAAAATAATTGTTATATGAAAAAAAAATATATATTTTGTTTTGCCTACCTTTTAATTTTCTCGTAAATACACATGACTTATAACGTTTATCTTGCTATATCTATTTTAAACATACACTAGACGAAGCATTCTTCGAAAGATAAGTCGAATATTCTAACGGATATTATAAAAGTTCGTCTACAATACATGGAATAAGTTTAGCCTATATTCGCTTATACTCTAATTCATTTACATCGAAAGTATTTCTCTTAAATAGGAGCCAGAGTACAGGCGTAAGCGTGAAATAAATTATTTTTATTTTTTTTACTCCAACTTATACCACCCTTATAGAAATATCATACTAAGAATCATTGATAATTACTTATTTTCAGTATTAAAAATACTGGATAATAAGTAATTATCAATGATTCTTAGTATGATATTTCTATAAGGGCAAGCTTACTCCGTATATTGTAGACGAGACTTGCCAATGCAAAACTGAACCAATCATTCTCTTACCTGGTTGCTATTCACCATATTTTCAGATCCTTTGAAAATCTGTAAACAGCAATATGTAGTGACGAACAGACTCTTAATCTAGCATCCAGCTTACTGGCAGCAAACCGACTTTTTGTGTGACTCATTGTCGGCAACACTGCGAAAATCCGTCGTTGACGCAGCGTTGCCGGTTGCTTTCCGTGCTTTAACCTTTAGATTGCCGCGAAAGCCACGTGGTTCTGCATAAATCTCAAAATTGTACGCCATGTATGTGTATGTTACTTACATAGAAAATTTTTTTAGAAAAAGATTTACATTTTTAATGAAAAAATGCCGGCAGCCTAAAGGTTAAGATACCGAGAACATAACTTCAAATGAGAAATTTCTTCATGCTATTTATCAATTCTTACATCTTTGTGTATACTGATGATTCATTAATTCCAAGCTGCTCTGCAAATTCTTTTAATGTTTAGATCGAGTTTTCGTTGAGCAATGCCTCTAATTTGTTGTACTCTATCACAATATGGATGATCAAATTTGGATCAAATTTGGATGATCACAATGTGACTTTCCAGCAAACATTACATATAACGTACATATTAGTTATAATTTCCTACTTAGCAATGTAACTGTTATATAACATACGTGTTCATTTATTTATCGTTGATATCGTAATCATCCCAGCAAAATAGAATATAACTATTATATAACATAGAAATAACACGTAATATAACGGATATTATACGTTATTAATATTAAAGTTACATAATTTCTTTTATAACTGCAATCTAACTATGTTTTAGAACTGTTATAATTCTCTATTATTTACAAATTTTATAATTGTATAACACCAACATAACTAAAATATAACAGATTATATAACAAATTAGTTTGCATTACATCTATGTTATATAGCATTCTTATCTTTAGGTATCGGGTCATTCGCTATATGGCTGCCGTTTTCTTGTGTCTTTTTCGTATGTAAAATATGATACATTAATTATATAAAAACAATGATTACAAGACGGCATAACTTGTACTGTAATGGACTGTAATGAAGTCAACTTTTATAATGAAGTGGTACACTTTTTGATTAATGGAAATTACTATTACAGTAGTTAATCCCTTCCACTTGAATATGTACAGAGAGATGGAAATGAAAATAGCTACACACAATAGCATAAAATGCTGAGGACATACTGGGAGACTGTCTAGACGTCTAGAATGACTCTAGAATGATTCTGGAATATCTTATGTTATTTGAGAGCTAATTAACTTAAAATGGAAAGATACTTTTATATTATTATCTTTACTAAAAAATATTATTTTTCATACGAAATATATAATTATAATATTTTTAGAAGCATACTTTTACAAATTAATTGATAATTTAAATGATAGCTTGTAATCTCTGCATACAATTAAATATCTATAATTGCTGGGAAATAATAATTTATATTCGAGCTATATAATATTTCAGCAATATATATAACAGCTTACATAAAATAATTTAAATGAAGAAGACATCTGTTAGAAGACGTTCGTTCTCTCAAGTCGTCGTTTGGTTTCTAATTACAGCTGAGCAAACACTCGTATATAAGATATATGACCCGTAACATAACCTAAAAATTCCTTTCTAAACTGGTAAAATATATTTTACATATATTACAAATATTTTCATTCTTTATAGCTGTTAATAATCATAAAAACGACTTCAAGCGTATTTGTATTAAAAACGAATTTAATTTAAAAAAATTTTTAAACTAAATTAAATTTATTAAAAAACGTTATATTTTCCCCCCTCTTTTTGTTAAAAAATACAAAATTTTGCAATCTATGATAAAGGATTTCTGATATGAAGTTTACAAAGCTTTTTATTTTTATATGTAAAACATATCAATAACAATACGATTATCTAACATGAGCAACTATTCCACATTCCAAAATGTATCAAGAACTGAAAGTACTGGCAGTACTGTTGCTGAATTCAGCGTATTTTAATAATTATTAATAGACTGCAGCAGCATAGAAAATTGGGACACATTTGCAGTATTATGCAGTGTTAGCAGTTAATGTAAACGATATGACCTATTTAAGAAAAGTGCACAATGAGTGTGTGAAACTAAATTTGTAATTATGGTGAGCTAACTTTTTCTTTAAACTTGGCTCACATTTAATTTAATATTTTCTGCAATTTAGCAAGCATAATTGTATTATCTATAATAATATATTATTGGAGTTATAAGTTTATTATTAATATATTAATATTATTATATATATTATTAATATATTAATATTATTGAAGTTATAAATTTATGATAGTTTATTCATAATTACTTTTATAATTTTATTTTCTTGGAGATTTTTTAAAATAATTGAAGTTACTTGATAATGTTCCTTCATTATCGTCTGACGATAGAAATACTACGTATATGTCCAGACAGCACAAATCTCATAAACAATTTCTAAAGACATATAAAGACGTCTTTCAAACATTTATGTTATCTGGGTGTTATCTGAGTGTTATTTTCGTGAAAAAGATATTAACTTTTAAAGATATTATCTTGCAACGCGCTACAATTTCGAAGCGCGAAACGTCAGCATATCAGTATGTCATAATTTTGTTTACATATAGAAAGTTTACAAAATTTAAATTAACTGACAACAAATAATTAAATTACAATTTAACAAATAGTTAAATTTACAATAAATAATTCGATCAATGGAGACTTAAATTTAGCATAAAAAATAAACTCGATCCTGCCAGGATTCGAACCTGGAATCTTCTGATCCGTAGTCAGACGCGTTATCCGTTGCGCCACAGGACCACGAGTGACAACATCACCTTAGCATACCATTATTAGATGTTAGATAAGTTATGATAATTTAATAAATATAATATCTAATTTGTTAAATATATTATTGCGCCCGCGTTTACGAGGAAAAGAATCGATTTTTGTCCTCGCAAAGTCTAAGGGGTTGTGAAACCCCAGGGCGCAATAATATTATAACTTAAACAACTTAATAAATATATTAAATATATTATTAGAGATAGTCAAGTATTTGCACAGCTACACTGTTTGACTCTGTATTTATCAATTTCTGCTTGAGTGGCATAATATGTAAGCAGTATTTTCTTAGTATGCTCCTTTTTTTCTTGAGTGAGGTATTCAACTTATTATATTATTATATTATATCATATCATTATTATATTACATTATATCATATTATATAATATATATCATATTATATTATATAATATATTTTATTATCATATATTTTATTATATTATATTAACTATATTATATCTAAAGGCGATTGAAAATTATTGATATATCATAATAATTCTGATTGATTCTATTTAATATTTTATATATACTATAATATTTTATATACTATATATATACTATTTTTATAAAATTTTTCTTAAATCTCCTCAATTATTGATTGTTAAAAACTTGAGGTTTTTTTTACTTTTTTTACTTGCATCTATAAGGTTTTTTTCCGTTTTAAGTGTAAAATTTCGATTACATGTAAAACGTCGATTATACATGTAATAATTACATTATATAACAATAATCTTTATTATTTTTTTTTTCAGATTTGTTCGATCACGGTAAATGTATCTGCAAACATGGATATTCATGATTGTACACATGATCTATATTCGTAAGTAATAATATATTTCATCGGTACAACATCGACAGACTTACGAAGTTCGAAATGTATTTCCGATAGAGTGTGTTGCGGAAGAGAATATCGTCGAACGTGGGTTATGCGAGGGTTACAAATCCGGCGAAGACGATCTTCAGACATTCGATTTTATCAGCAAGTTGAAATTGGACCTGTTGAAGGCGTATTACAGTGGCGTAACGAAAGTCAAAGGCAGTGACCGCATGCAAACGGCATATCGGCTGGAGAAAGACACTGATGTCACCCTTCCAGCAAAGTATCGTTTAATATTAGACACGTAAAAGATACATGACGTAGTCAGTGTTTTAGTGCACGATACTCGTTGAGTAAAATTACATCATTTTAATTTGACATAATCTATAATTAGAGATCTTGCTGACTTATAAAGTCAGTCCAATCTTTCTGAGACTTATAAAGCCTCTCCAATCATTCAAAGTAATCCTCCAATATTATTGTTTGTGTTTGTCTGTTGAAGCTATCGATTTAACGGTAGAAATATCTTTCTTAATCCAGAAATTCCTTCGCATATCTCAGTTTATTTTCAGGAACATCACACCCAATGGGTTTCCGCAGGAGTTCACGTTGATATACACACTACGTGCCAGGAAAATACCGAAATATCCTTGGCACATCGTTAGGGTTGTGGACGCGGAAGGTAACGCACAGCTTCTCATCACTGTGAATCCCAGGAAACAGTCACTGGACTTCTCACTGATTGACCGCGAGGGAAAATTGCAGACTGTCTCTTTCGTGAACGATCGTGTGAGTGTCATCGGTCGCGTCATCGTCATCGTTCTAGAATAGGCCGTGTTGCACATTGTTGCGCGTAATCGTCCTATATTACTGATTTAGACACACGTCTGCCAAATAGAACGTTCGATCTGCCGAATAAAATTCCTCGATGGAAGCAGAACTGGCATGGAGAGTTGATGGATCTTTTCATTTACTGACGCACTTAATTTATCCTCCATTGTGCCGCAAAAATTACAAAAATCGCTCAAACCACATTTCTGAATTGAAAGCTCTAAACAAATAGGTTTGGACGTTGAAAATGACACTTGTGGAATGTAGGGTCGTAAATCTTCTTGAATGAGCCACTCTTAGAAACGTCGTTGAGAAGAGAGAGAGAGAGAGAGAGAGAGAGAGAGAGAGAGAGAGAG